TACCCCGCATCGACGACCTCCTGGATAGAGTGCAAGGATGCCGGTATTTCACCAAGATAGATTTGAAGTCCGGATACCATCAAATTGCCATTAGACCCGAGGACCAGCACAAAACGCATTTCAGACCAGGTACGGTCTGTACGAGTTTGTGGTGATGCCCTTTGGCCTATGCAATGCGCCTGGTACATTCCAGCACGCGATGAACATGATATTTCATGAGTACTTAGACAAGTTTATCCTCGTGTACCTCAACGATATTCTTATCATTAGTTGGACTGTAGAGGAGCACGCTGAGCACTTGAAAATAATGCTAGGTCTCCTAAGACAGCACCAATGCAAGGTTAACTTGGAGAAATGCGAGTTCGGTCGCACCAAGATCTTGTACTTGGGTCATGAAATCTCAGCGGATGGATTGAGGCCGGATGATGCTAAGGTGGCCAGGATACGTGACTGGCCCAGACCTCAGACTGTTACTGAGTTCATATCGTTTTGGGGGATGGCGGGCTACTATCGTCCGTTTGTAAAGAACTATAGTACTATAGTTTCCCCATTAACAATTTTAACTCGACTGGATACCCCTTCGGAGTGGACTGAAGAGTGTGAGGCGGCCTTCAGGAAACTGAAGTATGCCCTGACACACTATGAGGTTCTTAAACTTCCGGACCCTGATAAGCCATTTGTAGTGACCACAGACGTTAGCCAATATGGCATAGGCGTAGTCCTTGTGCAAAAGGAAGGGCCCGAGTTGAGATCTATCGAGTACATGAGGAAAAAAATGTCGTCTCAGAAGCTAGCCAGGTCTACCTACGAGCGTGAGCTCTACGCCCTTTACCGAGCGCTGGTCCAGTGGAGACACTATCTCCTTGGCAGATTTTTCTATGTGAGATCTGACCATGAGACACTGCGCTGGATAAAAACACAACCGGTACTCACTGACGCACTTAAGCGATGGATTCAAGTGATAGACATGTATGACTATCAACTTGATCCAATCAAGGGAGAGTACAACAAGGTAGCTGATGCACTTTCACGTCGGGCAGATTACCTGGGCGCACTAGTGACTGAATTCGGCATACCTAATGATCTAACTCGATGTTTGGTGGAGGCCTACCAGCAAGATGTAGTTATGTTTGAGATCATCCATAAGTTCAAAGAGAAGGATAAGGTAACTTCTGACGAATTTACGATGGTAGATGGCTTGCTGTTTCTTGAAAAGGCAGGGAATAAAAGATTAGTGAGTCTTTCGTAGTTTATTTTTAGGGGAATGTCACGATGCAATTGGTCATTTCGGTTATAGGAAAACTTCAGCTAACTTAGTACAGAAATTCTGGTGGCCTTCTATGATGGAAGATGCCAAGAAGTATGTTGAAACATGTCAGGTCTGTCAATGTGACAAACCTAGAACTCGAGCTCCGCTTGATCTCGTCAAGCCCTTGCCCATTCCTGGAGGTCCTGGTCAGAGTGTCTCCATGGACTTCAGGGATACTCTTGTGACCAGCAGGTCTGAGAAAAGACACATCTTCGTTATAGTAGACCGCTTTTCTAAGTATGCAAGACTGATCGCTATGCCTGAGACTGCTAAAACCGACTATGTCATCAGATTGTTCATGGACAACTGGGTACGTGACATTGGTTTACCTAAGTCTATCGTCAGCGATAGGGATGTTCGTTTTACGAGCGAGCTGTGGCAGAACACTGCCCAACAGATGGGAACCAGACTGCAAATGACATCAGGGAATCACCCTGAGTCAAATCGACTGGCGGAACAGATGAACAGAGTAGTGCAGCATCTACTAAGGCACTACATTAAGCCAAGCCAGGATGACTGGGACGAGAAACTACCTCTAGTCGCTAGCCTGTACAACAACGCAGTACATAGTACTACTGGCATGATTCCCAACCAACTGCATCTTGGTTGGAAGCCCCGTTCCGCCCTCGATTTCCTACTACCTGAAAAACAGGCTACTGCAGCACCCGGTAGCATAAAATTTGCTGTCACATACGAACAGACGTTGCAGCAGGCCGTTGAGCACATGAGGAAATCTCAGGATGCTATGATTGCATCTGAGGATAAACACAAACGAACTTCTAACTTTCAAGTAGGGGAAAGGGTCTGGGTAAAGTCATCTGAACTGGGACAGGAAATGGGAATATCTAGGAAACTAATGCCACAATATTTTGGTCCCTGGGAGGTCCTGGACATAGTGGGGGAACAGGTGGATGGACCTCCTTATGTGATTCGCGTCCCACCTCATCTACGGACACACCCTGTTTTTCACGCATCCAAGCTGGCACCTTTCGCAGAAACTGCACAGTTTCCCTCCAGACGGTCAATGCTGCCCCCAACCATGGATGGCGAAGTGGACATCGACCAAATCATGGAGCATCGTCTGATGCCTGTTCCTCGACCACCAGGCAGAGGCCGCCCTCCTAAGCCAAAAGTGCAATACCGGGTCAGATTCAGACATCATCTGGATCCCAGCGAAGATCGGTGGTTCACCAGAGAAGAACTCGTGAGAACTGCACCTCAAGTCATTGCAGGCTACAAAAGAGATCTCAAAGGGAAGATGCCTGCAGAATAGAAGACTTCTCAGAGGACTATCGGTACTGAGGAGGGAATGTGAGGATCTGGGTCCTCGGCAGGCCTAAGGGCCCCATGTTGCATCTGTGCCCACCCTAAGTGAAGGCGGGCCTAACAAATTATGAGAGCCCCTCGGCTGTCAATTTTGTATTTGGGGTTCAGGCAGTTTCGTCGCGCCAGTTGGTTGAGGAAAACACAGGCCGAGCAGCGAGACCTTCGACGGCCTTCCAGGCCTTTCCGAAATGATGCAGGCCCTGGACGAGAATGGCAGCCTCATACACAGACAGTTGGGAGGCCCAACCGAACGAGGCCCAGTAGCTGCAAGAGAGGCGCAGCATCCTAGGGCCTACCAGAATTTTCTGGGCCCAGGCCAGTCCAGCCAGGCTGCCTGATGAGGCAGGCTCTTTCCATATAGGAAAGAGCTCGCTGCCTGGCCAGGGATTAGGGCACTCGCATGCTGGCGACAGCGCTGCTGGAGCTGAAGCTCATGGGCTGCTGCTAGCGCTGAGAGGTGAAGTGCAAGCACGTGCAGCCGTGCAAGGAGGAGGACGCTGCTGAGGGCCCAACCTCCATAGCTGCCCAGCCTCCATAGCTGGCTGGCTTGGATGTACAGTGAGGAGCAGGGGTGGTCTTCGGGTGTATGAAAGGAAGACGTGGGCGTAAGACGAGGGAGAGAGAGAAGGATGATGATGATGATGTGAGGGCACATACCTGGTATTGGCAATAGTCTGCTACGGGCAACATCTTCAAGTACTTCGGAGGCTGCTGACGTCAACAGTTGCATTGCCAATTAGTAGGCTAGTAGTAGCTGTGTAGAGAGTAGGCTGGGCACCGAGCACCAAGTAGGGAGATAGGGCCTGGTTACATATGTTGGTGGTGGTGAGAGCAAGCTCTCATTGACATTGGTTTTCAGTGCTACAATTCTCCATTGGTATCGTATTGGTGCAATGCTGCTTTCTGAACACTGTGATATGGTCTGGCTTTCAATGTGATTGTGCAATCTGAATATTCAATGTTGTCATCTCGCTTCTGTTCATTTTCCTTCCAATTTCAAATTTGGTAAAGAATTTCGATGTGACGTTGAGGCAAATGTTGTTCAGTTTACTTTTCTGCATAACATATTTTTGTTGCAGATTTTTTGGAATTCTTTTTTTTTTTTTCTGGGAAGTTGGACCCGGTTTTCAGCAGGTGCTGGCTCCCCACCAATAGACAGGAGCCATCGCCAGGCTGACGCTGAGGGGATGGTTAACATGGGAGGATACTCATACTACCCAAAGTCTGGGACATTGGACCTGGTTTTCAGCAGGCGCTGCTCCCCACCAATAGACAGGAGCCATCGCCAGGCTGACGCTG